TTGTAAACATTTGATCTTTTGTGTTGAAGTCTTTTGGTACACAATTGTAAACATTTGATCTTTTGTGTTTAAGTCTGTTGGTAAATATTTCACTTTTTGTTTGTGAATATGATGTTTAAATCTTTTGATTTATTAATGTGAGTTTTTAATTACGATTGATTTTGGAAATTTTTTGGTATTTTTAAATAGTATTTGTAAGCATTTATTATATTGATTATTTAGTAAAAAAAACACTAAACATGTTACTGGGGGTAAATTGGTCATTTTAACATGTCCTGTCATGTCTTACCAAACGCTGAACAGCTGTCATGTCCTGTCCTGTCCTGTCATGTCTTACCAAACGCTGAACAGCTGTTCTGTCCTGGCCGCGCACCAAACGCACCCTAAGAGTAAATTACAAATTTGGTTATTATGGTTGTACGAAAATTTGGATTGGGTCTTCCAAACAAATTAATTACACTATTATAGTTTCACTTTTGTTTTTGATTGGCTGTTTGATAGTTACAGAATGATTAAGTGGTCAAAATAATTAAGAAATTCTCGTAATATAGTATAAAATGAAATATAAATTAGGGTTAAATGCATGAAATAGCAACCTACTTTCATAAAATTTCTTATTATAGCAKTCTACTTTTGTTTTTCTTTATTACAACAATGTACTTTCGAATTATTTTTTATTAAGGCATTGTACTTTAAAAAATCTACCCATAATAGCAATGGGTAACCTGATACCTTTTAAACCGGTTAACCCTTTGACTTTTTTGCTTATGTTGCTTTAATGATGTGAAGTAGATGCCACATCATTTTGATGACTTAACTAAAATTAAAATTAAAATTTATTTCAAATTATTATTAGTGATTTTCATTTTTCATTGCTATGATCTAAAAAAACATTTAATTTTTTTATTTTTTCTTATTAAGTTGCATTCAAATTAAATATTCTTAGAGTAAAATATTTATTAAATAAATATGAAACACCATTTTCGAGATATATTTTGTTTGTAAGAAAAGTAACTTTTCCTATTTTATGTTGTTCAAATAAATACATATATTTTAAAGTTCTCTTTAAAATATTAACGAAATAAATTGTTATTTACATTTTTTTAATATTGTTATATTAATAAATAATTCAAAAAAGTCTAATTAATTTAATATATTTATACGTCAAGTAAATTTTTTTTGAACAAATATAATATATTATTTAAAAGATAATATTGTTTGGTAAAAAAATGAACAATTCTTATTTTCTTTTTTCAAAAAACACATACTTTTTAAAAATGTTAGCGAGATAAGTTGTGTTCTACTAGTTTTATTGATATTGGTATATTAATGAATAATTTAATTTTTTTTAATTCATTTAATACATTTATTAAATAACATGTAAAATATCTAAATCTTAAAATTAAAAATACAGTGTTTAATAAGAACTAGTAGATGCTATAATAAAATAATTTTGAAAGTACAATGATGTAGTAAAAAAGTCATATCATTAACATGTGGACAGCCTACGTAAACAATGAGGTGGCATGTAAACCTAACATAATGGGTAAATTTAAAACAAAAGGTTACCCAATGTTATAATGGGTAAATTTTTAAAAATACAATGTCTTAATAATATATTGTTGTAATAAGAAAAACTAAAAATACAATACTATAATAAAAAAATTTATAAAAATAAATTATTATTTTATGCATTTTAGCCTGTAAATTATTTCATACTCATTTAGAACCAAGGTGATGAATGGTCAGAGGGATACGGGGAATTTGTGTCCTTTTATGTCAATCAATTAAAAACATTTGAAGATCCAATGAGGGAGTGCCACGATCTCCCTCCCTGCTTGACATCTATTTCGCTTTCCATCAAGTCACAAACATCTCCGGCGATTTATCTTTCTCCGGCCTCCTTCTCCATCTCCGGCTACCACTTCTTTCGGCCTTCTTCTCCATCTCTAGCCATGAAAAACCGACTTTTGGTTACTTACCGATTCAAAAACAGATATGGAGCCTCCCCTCTTCAAAAGCACGTTTGATGAAGAACTCAGATCAAGTGTTAGAAGAAGAAGAAGGAACAAAAGGGTTAGGGTCCTTGATCCAAAGTTCTCCATTCCGTTCATGTGAAAAGCTTTAATTTCACATGTGAGTGCTTCCCCAGAGCTTGCTATACACACACACACTTACCACCGCCCATGGAGAATACTATATATCTGTTTAAAAATATAGAACTCATATGATAAGTCTTGTAACTCCACATCTGTAAATTAATACTAGATTTTCTTTTGTTTTTTCCAGGTGTTTTAATAGCCTTACTACTACACTCCTACACCATGTTAGCGTTAAAAGGGAGGAGGTATGGTGAATGTGGAAGGTGAGATGGAGGAGAAATGGTGTGGGGGTGATGGTGAATACTGAATGGTTGCCAAAGAACGGATACAGTGAGGAAGGGGGGTCGAAGTGGTCAAAGTTGCTGATATAGAAGGAGAGACGAAGACAACGGTCCTGGTTCCTGATCGAGATTCGAGGAGGGAGACGATAAGAGAATGGACGAAGGCGGTGGAAGGTGGTTCTGCGTTTATCGTCCGACGGTGGAGTGTGGTGGTGAGTGGATGGAGATGAGGGAGACGAGAAGAGAAAAGGTATCGCCGTGTCGGGAAGAAGGGAGGGGCATCGGTAACGACGAGGGAGTAGGGACTATCGCCGAGGAGATTTTTTTTTTGAGTAAATTACGCTTTTCGTCCCTATGGTTTATTAAAAATTGCTATTTTCGTCCTTGTGATTTAGATATTATGTTTTTCATTCTTATAGTATGTAATTCATTGCTATTTTCGTCCTTATAATTTATAAAAAAAAGATCAAAATACCTTCAAGTTAAGGTTAACAGTGGTTCAATCCAAAACGAAAGTGAAACTATAATAAATAATTAGTTTGTATGGGGACCTAATCTAAATTTTCATATAATTACAAGGACCAAAACTGTAATTTACTTTTTTTAAAAATTTAAATATAAAAATACAAAGATTAGGAAGTGAAAAAGGGGGATGTCAGCTGGTGTAAGTGGAAGGAAGCAAACACAGTTATCGGTTGGATTTATTAATTTGTTGATGGAAGAAGCTCCATTTTAAGCCCTCTTTCTTTTTCTTATATACCTTTCTTTCTCTCTCCTCTCTCTCCCCCCCTATCTCCTATCTCTTTCTTTCCATCTCTTCCTCTCTCTCTCTCTCTCCTCTCTCCTCTCTCCAGAAACAAAAAAAGAGCTGTTTTACCCACACAAGTAAGTTCTTTCTCTCTCTCTCTCTCTCTCTCTCTCTCTCTCTCATATACAAATTCTTATTTCTCTCTTTCCCTTTCTAAAATATTTGACTCCCCCCTTTGATATTGTACTTTATGCAACTCTCACCCAAATGGGTTCATGTTATCATCTCTACCAGATCTGATTTTTCCACTTTTCTTGATCTGAAATTTTGGATCTTTTTCTTTAAGGAATGGGTTTTCTTTCGGTTTGATTGTTGTTTTGGTTGTTTGCATGTTATTTTCTGCATTCTTAGTCGATGTTATCTATGTCTTTATGGTTTTTGTTCACGGATCTGTTCGATTTAACGCCGCTTATCTTAGATCTAGTTTTGGTGCCCTAGAATTTTTAACCTTTTCTTGTGGAATCGGGTTTTACCCATTGAAATGCTATTGTATCTGGATTCCGTCTGTTTTTATTTGAATTGTCTCTGATGTTTGGATCCTTCGTTTTGTTGATTGTATCACCATGTTCATATCGGATCTAAAAAAATTTCATTTCTATGTTCATATTTGGGGAAAAGGTTTGGATTTTGACCTAGAGTTTAGCTTTGCCTCTATTTTGACTGCTTTGATTGCCAATTTTTTATGGGTAGAATGGCGATTATTTGGTATGTTCTTGCAAAATACTAAAAATGTGATGAATGGTGTTTTGTGGCTGCATCTGTAGTATCTATCCATGGATGATGACGGATTGAATATGCGAAATTGGGGCTATTACGAGCCTTCATTTAAAGAACATCTTGGTTTGCAATTGATGTCTCCTTTGGGCGACCATCGAGATACAAAACCTTTCCTATCTGCACGAGAAACTCCGGTGATTCTGAACCCCAATGGCGGAGCTGCCACAGCCGCCCCTTATCACCACCACGCCCGCAATTGTGTGGTTTCTGAAGCACCTATACCAATGCATTATATGAGAGAGAGTTGGATTCAAAGAGAAAGACTTCTTCATATGCTTCCTGGAAACCCCAATTTTGCACTTCTTCCTGATACTTCAGCTTCCAATTCAATCCACATGATGCAGCCGCTTGATTCCACAAAAGATCCTGGGATGAATGTGGACGATAATGCAGCCATCATAAAGGGAGGTGGCAGCAGTGGTGGTGGTGCTGGTGGTGACGATGCTGGCGGGAGTGGTCCTGTAAAGAAAAGATCATCGGGGACAAACCCTAAAACCCCAAGAGCAAAGAAAGCGAAGAAAGGCCCTGCTGTACCAAAAGAAAACGGCAATCCCACCGGCCAACGTTCAAAAGTTGTGAAAAGGAATATGGATGTGGTGATAAATGGTATCGATATGGACATTTCTGGTATTCCGATACCTGTTTGCACATGTACCGGAACTCCACAGCAATGTTACCGGTGGGGTTCTGGCGGCTGGCAGTCGGCATGCTGTACCACCACCATATCAATGTATCCATTGCCGATGAGCACCAAACGCCGTGGAGCCAGGATTGCTGGGAGGAAGATGAGTCAAGGTGCGTTCAAGAAGGTGTTGGAAAAGCTCGCTTCTGAAGGTTACAACTTTGTTAATGCGATAGATTTAAGGGCTCATTGGGCTAAGCATGGAACCAACAAGTTCGTAACGATCAGATAGATCTTCGCAGTGGCTGCACCCTGGTATATGGTTCGTCTTTAACTTGTATATACTTCTGTGGTCGTTTGCAGAGGTATACTTGCTCATGAATTTTCCGTTTTTTCCGAGCTTTAGACATTTGGGGTTCCATTTATATTTCGATTTATGCTAAAAAAGGATATTTCTTGGCCATCTAACGGTAGAAATTATGGATTCGGTTTCTTTATTTTAGTTTCTTTCGCTTTTAATCACATTGCTCGGATCTTTTATACTCGCTTGTTTGTGTAATCTATCATGAATCCATCGAATTCCTGGGCTTTGGGTGTTTCGCGTATATTGTGCAACTCAACTTCGATTTGAAGGATTCCTTCATGTTCGTTATACAGAAGAACTTGTAAACTTAGAAATAACGTTAATAGAAAACATTGTGTTGTATGAAATCACAATCGATTTTTTGAAATTTGGATACATGGGGTCAGGTTCATAAAATTGATTAGGAACCGGGGACGTTGATAGTGAACCTAATCAAACATTGATTAGGAACCGGGGACCGTTGATAGTGGTGTATGTGACATGCTCGTCAAGAATATGGGCGTGTTAGTTATTCATTATGAATAATATTCATATTGAAGAGACGGTTTTCGGGTTACTAATTAATTTTGGATTCTTAATGGAACATCCCTCTAAACATCGGATATCGAATGAACGTTCACATCAATCATATCACGAGACATATTTAATGGAAAGAGAAGCACAAAATGATTTCAAAGGAAAATTGTTCTTTTCCATCCCGAAACATATTGATATCTCATGTTTGGCACGACATTAGGTGCGTTTTGTACATGGGACTGAACATGACATGACTATAGAAAATTTATTGTCCCATGTTTGGCACAACATTAGACTGGAACAGGATAGGATCCGCCTTAGTGGAACAAGAACACCAAATATATGGAACAAAAATAAAAAATCTGGGAGACGAGATAAGATTGGTAAACTATTAATCTACCAAATCTTAAGATCTTCTGTAATTCTTTATCTGTCTACCTTGTTCTCGTCAATCTGGTTCCGTCTTTTTCTGTCTGGTCCTCCATCAAGTTCCGTCTTGTTCAATCCTGTCAAGTTGAATGACGTGAAGCTGTTCAAAGGGTAAAAGTTTGATCCGAATTAAGACCTTTAAAAACTAATCAAATCGGGCAATTCATGTGTGTTGCAATAACCAAAAGGATTCGTATTGTTATTTCTGGTTTCCATGGGAGAATCCAAACTGATGAGCTCCAGTTGCTGATCTGATTGCAACTCATCATCTTCAAAGACCTCCCATTCATCTGTGGTTATCGTCGTCCTCAAACCACTTCTTGAATCGTTGGATTCATGGGTTTCTGTTGTCGTCTTCTCCTCCATAATCACGTATTTCTGCTCTTCTTTCGGGAGAAATTGTTTGTTCCCAGATTGATTAGAACCGCTCTTTATCAGGTTTTCAAGATTTTGGATATCTGCTCTCGATATGTGTTCGACTTTGGGACGTTCGGATGCCTTAACAACACCGATGTTTCTACAAAAGTCTAGATATTTAGACAGTTGCTTCTGTTGATCCGTTGCTTTTTCGATTATGAATAATGTTATTTTGGCTTCTGTTATGCTAGTCGAATAAATCCTGCCGAGAATGCTGACGATCCTGTTGCATATGTGGCCATAAATATCAAAACTCTCGGCTACGATGCATTCCATGGCTTCAAGAACGAGCAAGTTTGTGCTTGCTGCGTATCGTGGTTTGATCTGGAGCAACATGTCTAGCAGTGGTTGGAGTTTCTGTAGCCAAACAAGATCCTGGAGAATCAGACTCTTTTCGCTCCTTTCCTGATTGTCTTTCTGTTGCTGCGAAAGAAGGTATAAGAACGCCGATTTCTGGTCGAGGAAAGCATAGTAATCCCGGATAAAAGCCTCAAAGCTCCATCTTTTCACATTCCCTGAATGCCCGTGTTTGAAATCCGTAAGATCAAACGGCAACCGTCCAATCGTTTGAACAGCAGGGACTTTGCAACAGAAAACTCCATGCATAAGCATGAGGCCCTTCAAAGCCACCACCCAGTTGTGGGTCCTCTCCATTCTAACAGAGAGGGCCCACAACACAGGACGGAGATATTCCTCAGATTTATTAATCCAAGCATACACACATTGGGTGTGGTGGATATCGACATACGATTCATCATGGTTGGTGGCCTTGATGACTGCCTTCTGGATATCGGGATTCCAGAACGTTGAACGACGACTAGTCAGTCTCGCTTTGATAAGACTGTTTTCGTCTTTAAACGCTCCGGAAACCCTCCTCCACATCCTATGTTTTCTGTTCCAAATTTAACGTCCCTGCTGTTCTTTCGTGGTTCTTGTTCTTTTCACACCTTTTCTTGCTTCTTCGTTTTAATTTTTTGTTTTCCGATTCTAAATTCATAATTTTATTCCTCATTTTGCTTTTTTATTTTGAGGTGGACAATTTTTTCAGTTTTCCCATGAGAACCGTCCACACAATTATGTGTCAAAAAGTAATAAAATAACACGTAAACGGAACGGAAATAAAAGAGCATTGAGACGATCACCATTTCCATGAAGAGGAAACTGATACAGTATAAATATATACATCCATCAAGAAAATAAGATGAGAAAAATGAATAAAATAATACAAACCCAATTATGAAAAATTCAAATTTCAACAAACAATTTAAACCAAAAGAAACCCCAGCCAAAAGGGCTTTTCTTTATCTCCTAAACAAGTACAAACAGACCACCAGATCAAGGACCAGGGGGGCCATCTCCGGTCTAATTAGACCCAAGATTCACCCAAATGATTGACCACCTACACTTGGGACAAAGTCCTGGCAGCTTTCAAACCAAAAAATATACTCCTTTTGAGTACTCGCGACTCGCTCCTGACCACTGTCAACAGTGATGTCAATCACAATCCAGACTCATCAGGAAGTTGTAGTCGGTTTTTTCTTTAACCATTGCCAAATGGACGGAAATAACCACGGAATTGAGAGCACAAAGCAAAATTTGAACACGTTGTATGTATATATGTAACACAAACATCATGAGGCTGCTGATGCCTTCTCCAGCTTTTCTTTCTCGATTGCTGCTCGTCTCTGATCAGCATGCTGAGCAACTCCGTTTGCTAGTGCCTGATAATGGAAGTCAAGCGTCTGCGTGAGGTTCTGGAACCTTGTTGGGTCTGACGCTTGCAAAACTACAGGTTCATCATTTAAATAACCCAAAACTCGAAGTTAGCACACAAATCTAAAAGCTTAATAAAAACAAAATCAAAGCCAATAACAGTTTGTTGGATGGACCATATACCAAACTTGAACATTGAAGTCGGTCTATTCATGGATATACATCTTACCTTTCACAGTATCCACAAAGAGAACAAAGGGATCCACCTCATCAATAGGTGACTGCAAGTCTTCATCATCACTGAAGTCCTCATCAGAGTCATCATCGTAGTCATCAGTTGATCGGAATACCTTTGCCTGAAGATAAGTTTGTTAGTAGGAACTCCATCAAATATAGACAATTTTATCTTACGGACTGTTTGGTTGGTTTTTCATTAAGTCCTCTATAGATAAAGTTGTCTGTGTGAATCATTTGTCCGTATAAATTGGTAAGGTTTTTATTTGGGAGGGTTTTCTCATAGACGGAAGGAGCTGGTTTTT